CTGCATGACTTTCTAATTTGAAAACTGAAGCAAGCAAATAAAACAGACTTTATTTACTGGTCTTACTAAGGTTATTATTATCTGTATAAATACAGTGCATTGATGGAAATTATAAATCTGAATTAATTAACCTTTAGACTATACTATTGGCGACTGATATTACCCACTTAATAAGTGCAGACCAAGATCACATTGGCACATTTCGGCTGTTTGATCATTGTCTATATTGTTGACTAATGTGAATTCACTTAATTCCGTGGACATGATTTTTTGCGGATATTTTTTGTGCATACTAAAACTCCTGGACTGTTTACTTTTCCAAAAGGTAAACTATAAATAACGTGACATAAAATAATCTTACAGCAGTCTGACTTCCCAAACTTCATAATCCTACTAAAACTTCTTGCAAAACCCCAAAAACTGCAGTAACTGACCATTATTTAAAGTGAAAGCGAGCTCTTTAAGGACACAGATCCAAGAAATCTGCCACTGGCTAAAAGCTTGTGGGACAGATCTTGTTACCTCATTCTGCATCTACAATATCTATGGAAAAATTAGTTTGAAAATATCATAAACCAGGTCTAAGATTAGTTACTGGAAACAGACTTGAACACACTTGATAACTTACTAAACTTTAGTTACTATAGTTCTTATAAATGACAGTTCACAATCATACCAAAAAGGGCAAAAATCTTATTTACAAAATTAGGATAAAATATTTCCCAGCCAGACAATTGGTTTAACAAGTCAGATTTTCTCACTAATCAAAGTCTTAACTTCATAGAATATATCTTCAAATTCTATCTAATTCTATTTGATCTTAATCTATCAGTCTATAGAACCACCTTCACACAGACAGTTCACCTTCCGTAGAAAGATGTTTCCTAGCTGATTGACTAACCTTAGTTTATACAAATTTATTTTAGTTTGATTGTGTTGGAAGCTATAAGCTTATTGAAACACTCTCGAATCCGTTCCTGGAACCAACCAGTACTAAGCAATGAATGTAAAGTTTCTTGCTCAAGGAAACAATGGCTTGCCTCTGACAGGGTTTGAACCCATGGGGTCAGCAATCCTTAGATTTCTAGTCCAACGGGTTTAAACCACTGTGCCACGCCGACTAACCTTGAAGTCACTGTATAAAAAACTTCAGTTCTGAAAGGCATATTATGCCTCAGACACATTTTTTTTTTCCATTTCTTTAGAAGAGGCAAACATGACTTTCATATTAACACTTGAATAATGGTTACAGAGCATATTAGATGTTTGTTACCTGAAGAAAGTCAGTACTAATTGTGAAATTAGTTGTCATACAAGTAGCATAATGTAAACAAAGTACAGTATTCTATATGGTTTTATACTATCAAATTATAATTTGAAAAATTCTCTAAAAATGATCGATGGTTTACTCCATAATGAAAGATGGACAAGTCCATTTTAAGAAATTTAGGGTGGTAAAACTTTACGCTTTACTTCATCTAAAATTGCATTGATGACACTATCCTTTAATTTCCTCAGGGTATAACAAGCAATATAGGGAATTATATATATTCATTTAGAAATCTAATTTACAAGAAGTGAAATGAGTTATGAATTCATGCATATTTAAACAAAATATATTACCACCAACAGACCTAATACAAATTACAAATTATTTTTTTAATAATTTTGAAACATTTGACATTTACTACAGTTCAGACCGAGGTACAGGATACTATATAATTCATCAATATCAAGGGATTATCACTATGTATTAACTTATTGTTTAGCATGTCAGAAATTAATTATTTATTGCATGGTTTTTAACAAACTATTAACAAAGTATCATTATATATCATTCAGGTAATATCAATATGTTTAACGGATACGATGGTACAGGCTAGGACATTTATTCCAGTTGATTGCATTAGAACATTTTCAATTATATAAATGAAAATATGAATAAATAACAAGGAGTTAAAAATGATTAATAAAGTTATAGATTTGTGGATGGTGTCAGACTGTCAAAGTAAAAGGATGATTGTCAGCTGAGTATAGTTGTAAAGACAGGGTTTTCATCATATTTCAAAGAATTTAGCTGGGACATTCTTCAAAGGGTATACATAAAGTAAACCAAGCCTGCAGCATTTTCAATTTTGCCATTTTGGGAGTTCTTTAAGGTTTCTATTTTGACCATTTAACTGACTATTATATACTAGTGAATGAAAACTATATGCATAATGGTGAATGACAACCATGTGTGTCATAACTAAAGCTTGAATTGTCTATTACATTTTACCATTTATAAACTTCACTAATATTTAAATCAATTGCTTTATAACAACAAGGTATTGTTTCATACTTCAGCTAAAATGGTCACATATGGTAATGCCTCTGGTATAATATAGACAATGGAATCTTCACTTAGATCTATACTTGTATCAGACTGTTATCACTACAATGTAGTAAATTGTTGTAATGTTATACTGAATTCTACATAAACATGTAAAGTTACACTGAATTTTACATAAACATGTAAAGTTACATTGAATTTTACATAAACATGTAAAGTGACATTGAATTCTACATAAACATATTAAGTTACACTAAATTCTACATAAACATTTAACTGAATTCTACATAAGCATGTAAAGTTACACTGAATTCTACATAAACATGTAAAGTTTCACTGAATTCTACATGTAAAGTGACAATGAATTCTACATAAACATGTAAAGTTTCACTGAATTCTACATGTAAAGTGACAATGAATTCTACATAAACATGTAAAGTTACATTGAATTCTACATGTAAAGTGACAATAAATTCTACATGAACATGTAAAGTGATATTGAATTCTACATAAACAGATTCTAACATATAACAATTAAATCATACAAGTTTATGTGTACACAAGAATTGATACATTACTTTGAAGAAACAATTAATGACAAACAGAATGATGTTTATACAATTCTTGATCAATACAATAATATTGTATTTATTCCAGATACTGATATTTCCTCAGTAACAACATAATTATATAGAAAATGTAAATGTACATACATAATAATGGAAAATATTTAAACAAACTATAATTTTTTAAGTAATACTGTAGTTAATTATCATAATCATGATATAATATTATTTTGCTGAAACTTTTATGATGTTATTAGTATGATGTTATTTACATCATTTTTTTACCAGAAACTTAAAGTAACAACTTATACATTTTCATTATCATGTCCTTAGCCTTTTGGTTCCCAGTAATAAAGTATTTTCACAATATTATAACATCACTTAAAACAGCATAAAATCATCTTTATTTACAAAGGACTTAATAGAACCACTCTGCATTTCCTGAATAGATACCAAAACTCTTCCAATAATATTACTTTTGATTAATATTCTTGTGACAATGATTCTTGTGACTTTACAATAATTAAATTCGATGAAAAAATCCGTTTTCTTTTCTATTTTTCTTTATTTCAGAGAGTAAATGTTGTATAAAGATAAATTAAGATAGACTTATAATCTCTGTTACTTATAGAGTGTACAACATCAATTTCTCTCTATTTAATTGACAGGGAAATTTACTGTCTGCAGACCTCTTCACATCACGATCTAACTAAACTATATCTAATTATCTCCCTTTATTCATTGTCCAGTATATTAACATAATTAAAGTTATTTAACATCAGTGCTTCCAGTCCGGACAAAACTGTTACTATTAACTACCAAAGGTTTATTATATATAGGGTATAAAGCTATATCTCATAACTTTTTTTATATAAAATTTATAAATGATAAAATGTTGTTTCCAATATCTTATGGTACATTCTGAAAATAGTTGTATGAAAAGTGTGCCTAAATAGAACAAAATATTAGGCTGCTACTTTAAGAAGGTCAGTTTTAACTGTTTAACTTTCCATCAGCCATTATCTGGATAGCTTCCTCACATGAAAGAATTCAAAGTCAATGAAGGAATTCGAACTCACAGCTGTTCAAATCAAATCAAAATTAATTTATTGTCAGTATATATATATAATTATATATAACATTTCACAAAACATAAGCTTTGAATAGCTTTTGACCGACAGAGTGGCAAGTGATATATTAAATGTAATCAGCAACAGAAAGTCAAAGACCCCCTTTTGAGTACTAAGTGGCAACAATATACGTTCCAAGTAAACCACCCGGAAATGGTAAGACCATAACCTGTATACCAAGTAAACCACCCGGAAATGGTAAGACCATAACCTGTATACCAAGTAAACCACCCGGAAATGGTAAGACCATAACCTGTATACCATGAAAACCACCAGGAAATGGTAAGACCATAACCTGTATACCAAGTAAACCACCAGGAAATGGTAAGACCATAACCTGTATACCAAGTAAACCACCAGGAAATGGTAAGACCATAACCTGTATACCAAGTAAACCACCCGGAAATGGTAAGACCATAACCTGTATACCATGAAAACCACCAGGAAATGGTAAGACCATAACCTGTATACCAAGTAAACCACCAGGAAATGGTAAGACCATAACCTGTATACCAAGAAAACCACCAGGAAATGGTAAGACCATAACCTGTATACCAAGTAAACCACCCGGAAATGGTAAGACCATAACCTGTATACCATGAAAACCACCAGGAAATGGTAAGACCATAACCTGTATACCATGAAAACCACCAGGAAATGGTAAGACCATAACCTGTATACCAAGTAAACCACCAGGAAATGGTAAGACCATAAACCTGTATACCAAGTAAACCACCCGGAAATAGTAAGACCATAACCTGTATACCCAGATGATACCAAAACAACAACAACAAAAACAATGAGCAAGCAATGAAAATCATTACAAAAAACAAATATTTTGGTATTCACATGAAAAATGAGGTTTCAGACATTGGATACCTCCCAGACAAGACACTTTGGGGAGTGTTGCAGAATAACTTATAGTTGTGAGTTACAACATTACAATGTTCCTTAAGGTGTATAGACATGCGATATCCCTTGCAGAAATATATACTGGCATTTAAAAAGTCCCAGTATTTCCCAGTTATTATCCTAGAAAATTCCAGAATGTTAAAACCAGTCTTGGCTATTCTAGTATGGCCTAGGAAATACCAGTTACTGAGAACTAGGCATTTCTAATAATTTTTAAACAACTCATCAATTTCTAAGTTATACTAGGAATTGTAATTTATTTTCTGAGATTTCTAAGACTTAAGATTTTGCAAAATTCCTAGTCTTTAGGAATAACTTAGAATTTATCTTGTAGAACAAAATCCTTAACATCTGTGCTAAATTCCTTGAATCTTACAAAAATTCCTAAAGACTAGGAATTCTCTTTGTTGAAAGTAAACATGCAAGTAAATAAAGAAGGAAGACAATAAAATTGAAAATAAAAATGTTTTCTTTCTTTTTTTTAAATAAAACAACATACTGACCTAGATCTATTTAATAATATTTTTCTAGGATTACTATTATTATTATCATTTAATTGAAATTTAATAATCAATTGACCTTAATTTATGACAATTTTATCATAGGCCATTTAATTAATAGATAGTAGGAATATATAATCCAAAAAGAAATAACAAATGTACAGGCAATCCAAGTAAATCAAAGACGTATTATAAACCTTAAAAAAAACAATCAATAATTGACATCTGAAGTATGTAATTTTTATCAGTTGTGTAGAGCTATTTTTAGCGCTGTCAAATTGCATCCACTGATGTCATGCTTCAGTGCACAGGCTGTGTGTATAAACCACTTTATACACGGCTTACACTGCCAGGAGTGTGATTTGAACATATGTAGATCTAATTAGGGGTGGATTTAAGGTGATTATTATTGCATAGTTGAAAATCCCATGTGGCAAATTGACTCTTGTGCAGATTTTTTCACGTGTCAAATTTGTGCATTTCCAAGTTTTTACGAGTCAAAACCCGAATCCCCGCATCAAATTAAAGTAGGCCTATAATTTATGTGGCAGGTCATATTTATGCTGACGGAAATTAACGATGATAACTTAGTCTTTACTTAACCAGCGAACCTTTACGTTTATACTCGAGCAATATCCGTAAATTTACGCTAACCAAGACGAGCATAATTTCATGACGTATTGGATACGTATACTGATGACGTAGCAACACAATTGTTTTGGAAACTACTGTAGCTTTGTATGAAATTCAAGCGCTTGTTGGGCTTAAAATAATAGATTTGTGAAATAAAATTCAACGATATAATTGAAATTATTCAGTCATTGTATTGACGGCAAAAACAACGGAACTACACGAAATTATGCGAATCAAGCACATGTTACTGACGTAGTACACAGGATTATTGCGTAGAACACAGGTTTATTGTGCGCGCAATATTCAAAGACGGCAGACACTTCGTCTCATATCAACAGTGAACTGATATCGTCTCCCCAATAAAGACATTCAACGAGGAAGGTGAAATTGCTCAAGCAAATTATCAGAAGAAGACCTTTAAAGCTGCAATCGGTGAAATTCACTGTGAGTATTATCATAAATGCACTGATTTTTTCCCAAACAGAGCCGGCGTGTTTATGACCAAAATGAAGAGTCTAGAAATTATTTTAATGACCTTTCTTCACTTCTAAAAGCATTATTTTGAAACAATTTGCCGACTGTAACAATAGAAATAATAATTGTATTTCCAGCTTATTCCTAGTTACAATTAAGATACTTAAACCTTACTGGAAAAAATGCGTAAACGGACATTTGTCACATATTTTCGCGACCTGTTTTTATTTATTTCTTTGTTGAACAGGAAAGATATAATAATAATGAATAAAAAACAAACCATCGTTGAAGATGGTTGTGCTTCCCTGCAGGAAATTATTTGCTTATGCCTTCTAAAAGTTTAAAATATTGTTTTGAAAAATGCATGGTAGCAAGTTTCCCCCCCCCCCCCCCAGACAGTTCAATACCCTAGTATGCAGAAACAATATTTTTATATCACCATTAATCTATGAAATTATGTAGTTATATTAGAATATGATAAACAAGATCAACAAGAAAAGATGATGTTCAATAAGCCTACATCATGTCTGTATTTTAAAATAACACATTACTGACTGTATTTTTAAATCACAATAAGATACCTCAAAAAATTTATTTGAAACAGAAATCATGTTTTCTGTTTGTTTTTGTTTTGTATGTGTGATTTAATCTCTAGATTTCTGTGCATGTATAGGAATTATTGGACCACTAAAAAGTTGTCTAGGCCACCAAAATTTATCGGTCAGTGGTCCAGGTGACAGCCTGGCTAAAATGGTTTGTCTTTGACACTGCCTAAGCCTATACTAGAGAATCTGAATACTGGTCCATTAAAATAAATCCCACATGATGATTTGCAAAGAACAAAAATAGCACAAACAGTGTCATACTTTAAGCACTAACCTGAATACATTGCCTTAATCTCAGTCATCGAATTTAAGATTTTTGAATCGTTTTGAATTTATTCTACTATATATTTAACTAAATTCTCGTAAAATTTACACTGGTCATGGGCCATCAGGCCAGTGCTAAATTTGATGACTGTAATCTGTTATTGTATTAGGGGGAAGGACGTGAAGTGGTTGAACACGCTTGAACAAGATATTTTTGTTGCCCCACTTTAGTGACGGGCATTTAGATTTACCCTTGTCCGTCCGTTCTCTTTTGTGTCGGATGTTAAACTCAAAGTATTTGACCTAGAGTCATGAAACTTTACAGGAATGTTGATCAGCATGTGTAGTTGTGCACCTGGGTATTTTTGTCTGGATTTATATAGTATTTTTAGAGTTATTGCCCTTGACTAAGTAAAATTTTGCAATTTTCAACTTGTGTCGCATGTAACTCAAAATGGGTTTGACATAGAGTCATGAAACTTTGCAGGAATGTTGATCAGCATGTGAAGTTGTGCACTGGATATTTTTGTGTGGATTTATTTTATTTTTTAGAGTTATTGACCTTGACTTAGAAAATTTTTGCAATTTTCAACTTGTCGCATGTAAATCATAAAGGATTTGACATAGAGTCATTAAACCTTACGGGAAGGTCAGTCAGCATATGTAGTTGTGCACCTTGGGTTCCGCTTGTGGATTTATCCCATATTTGTAGAGTTATTTCCCTTGACTTTGTAAAAACTGTTTCATTATGTTGTGTTATTTGTTCCTTGAGTGCTTGAGTTAGAATCAACCAACTTTACAGAAATAATGATCAACATCACAAAATTACAGGAATAACAATGATAATAAATAATAATAAAAAAAATACACAGTATATTTTCATTAGTTTGCCTTTTTTGGTGAACTTCAAAACTTACACATGTGAATAAATGAGCATAAAAACCGCCCTGGATTTTCACTTATCAAATTTCAAAATATGTACATGACCAGTTTATAACTTCAATAGCTTTGTATAACCAAAAGCTACAAATCTGAGGCCCAGAACAGAGTGTGTCATAAACACTTCCTTCATGAATGGCCATTTAAAAAAAAATCAAATAACATACAAACCCACTTACCTGAAAAAATATGTGAGAGTTTTGTAAATATTTAAGACACAGAAACCATTTTGTCAAGTTTGCAATGATTTTACTCGCTTGAACCAAGTGTGCATCCACTTCACGTCCTGCCAAGTGATTTGTATTTATTTCGTATTCAAATATCTTGGTATATTTCCATATGTAGAGAAATGTATTTGTTTGATTTCAGATAAGAATTGGTACCACAAGGCCACAAAGTGAGGAGTTCAACTAACTTGTGGATGATGTTCCAAGCTGAGGAGAGTGAGAGCTTAAATCTATAAAATGGGTCAAAAACTTTTGATATAGAAACTGTCATAAATTCTTCAGTTAATTGAAAGAGGGCAAGTTGTACAAAATGCCATGGAGCTAAATATACATGGAGAAGAAACTGTGATGTCACACAGTTAAATTCAGTATTGGCAAAATTGTGTTCTTATAAGTTATCATATGTTGCGGGATTTTCAGAGATTTGATGCATCCTGGGTAAAAATAGCCAAAACACCGTCATATTGAATTCCCGGAGGAAGATGAAACATTTTTTTTGCTTAAATAAGAAGCAATAGTTATTTATTGTAAAAGGTACTATACACACTTTTCTATACAAATATTTCTCTGATGAAAATCTATGTTGGGGTATGTAAACAATAATTCATGGATATCGTCCAAGTTTAACGAGAGTGCGAAAATTGGAGACTAACGAGAAAACCCAATTATCACCGAAGCCTGCAAAGGATTGTGGGTCTGAATCTGACTATTATCTATTTTTAGAGCTTTCTATCTGTTGTATATATATATATATCTGTGAAAATGCAAAGAAGTCGTTGGATTACCAAAGATCAACATTTCATTTGATTACCAGTGATCATCAATTCAGTGGATTTCTGAGATTCTCAGTATGAAAAATTTGATGACAAGAAAATTATTAAACCGGCAAAAATTGGATCTTACAGCAAGGATTTACTCATTTCAGAAGACAGCAATAGAAAATGTAGGAGTTGCATGTAATTCTGGAGGTTTCTTGCGTCATGTTTTGTACTGTTTAAGTGACGTTTCTTAGACTGTTTAAGTGATGTCCCGCATTCAATCAGTTAAGAAAATGATGAAAGCAAATTAAAATCTAGGAGAGACCTAGTCAAGTATTATAATGTTTTAACTTTTAGTGCTAAATTCAAAGAGGTGTCTCATGTTACACTGTTTTAAAAAAAGGAATCTTAAGTCAAGTGTTATTGCCAAAGCTCATTGCATTCCAGTAACTACAATGATATATCTAAAGAAGTGTGTCTAAACAATACAAAAACAATTAAACTGTAAGGAAAATACTTTGTTTCATATGCAATCATGCTTTTTATTAAATTTAATAGTTTGCTTATGACTGATGTTGAACTGCTTGTCATTTAACTGGATTTAAAAGTGCACATTTTAGTTCACATCAGTACAATGTGCTTATGTGAAGTATTGTGATTGCCCTGTGTCCAATGGCATCTTGTATTGTCAGCACTTTCTTGTAATGATGTCTTCTACAAAACTGATTACCGGTATTTGATTTTAATCATAATGATCTTTTGGTGGCCCTAGTAACAGTAATTCAGCTGTGGTCCAGTCATACCCAGTTGCTAGGAATTTCCAGTACAATGCAATCCTAGGCTATTCCAGCCATTCCTTAGATCATGGAAATACCAGGAACGTCTGGGATATCCAAGTTCTTTGAAATGCCAAGGAATTACTAGAAAAAATGTTCCAAATACCGTGGGCAGGTCATTCTCAGTCATTCCTAAGATTATAAAAATACCTGGAGTTACTGGTATTATCATAGGTCTTTGAAAGGCCTTGAAATGCCTGGGATTGACTAGAAAAATGTTCCAAATACCGTGGGCAGGTCATTCTCAGTAATTAGGATTTTCAAATACAAGTTGATCTAAGGCATTCCTGGTTTCACATTTTTTTCTAGTTATTACCAGTAGTTTTCAGTCGTTCCAATTACCGCCAGCCAGTAACTGGAAATTCCTCAGATTTCCTTGCATTTCCTAGAAATTATCCCTGTAAATATTCCTGGGATTTCCCAATAAAATCCTAGTAAAATCCTGGTAAATTACCAGTAATTTCTGCAAGGGATATCAGTGATAAATTATTGATATCATCCAAATGTTTACAGTCACGCCATTGTAGAATAACAGAACCAGATATATTAATGAAATACACTAAAAGGTGTTAGTAAAGTCAGTGTATGTAAATATGTGGTTGGACAAGGCAATCTTAAACAGTCTGATGGGAATACAAATATAATAAATGTCAGCTTCCAGGGTCCACAAATAGTCTCGCAAGGTTTCTAAATGTTTTCTTAATGGTGTTTGTATGTTTCACAGTTAAATCTGTCTGTCTGCTTGAACATTTATCCCAGTAGATTTTGTTTGTTTATTTAAAGGACCTCATTCTTAAAATACCAAAATGAAAAAGCCATCTAAAGTAGTGTTTATTATACTTAATGTATACAGATTATGCAGTCTTACCAATTTACATTTACAATAAGAGTGACTCAAATCAGGGCTTATGTCCGTTAAGTTAGGTTACTCTGTTGGCAGCGACTTAACTATTGATCATAGGCTTTGCCATGTGCCTTCTCCATAACATGCACAACTCAAGAATGATTGGAGAAGCTTAGGCTGAGTGTTAATATACAATTAGTATATCATAAATAACCTAACTCTTTTATAATAATATGACAGTACTTTAATTACCTCCCTTTTTATAACATTACTTTTACCTCCCCCTTTTAAAATAATATGCAGAAAATCAATCAATAATTTTATCATCCCCCCTTTAATAACAACATAAGTTTGTAATCAAACAGTAAATTTATTGTCTCCCCCTTTTATAAAGTGTTTGTAATTAAACAGTAATTTATTATCTCCCCATTTTATAAAAATGTGTTCATAATCAAACAGTAATTTTATTACCTCCCCCTTTTATAAAAAAGTTTTTGTAATTAAACAGTAATTTTATTATCTCCCTCTTTTATAAAAAATTGTGCGTAATTTTATTATCTCCCCCTTTTATTGCAACGTGTTCATAATCAAACAGTAATTTTATTATCTCCCCCTTTTTGGAGATGAACAAGGCAATTCCTACTGAATAATTCATATAAGGCAAAAATAACCATCTTAGATTTTCTAGTTCAAACCATTGGTTCCAAGAAATATCTTAACAAGAATTTCCTCACCGATACAAACCAAACAATAAAGCAAAAAAATTCTTTATTTTCTTTTCTTTTTTTGGCAATAATACAGATTAAGCACAGCCTCAAGAAATTCAATATTGACATTTCTTTGAATTATTTAGCTGCCATGACAATTGAATAAAATGCAATGTCAAAGGAAATTACATTTACTACTGGGAGAAAAAAAGTCTGGAACTTTGATTAAATTGTCATATAATAACATATAATGCTAATCATTTCCGGACAGGTTCCCACCTTACACAGACACTGGACAAACAAAATGTATATATATAATATATATATAACAGAACATTGTCAACACAGACACCATCCAAACATATCCATCAAGCATATATGGTGTACAAATATGTCTATATTTACAATCCATGATGAAAAATATATCACCAAGGAATATCTCCAGCAATTATTTTTCAAGGAAAGCAAAGCAAATGTTTGTTTGGTGTGACTATGTCGTGGTGTATCACAGTATTTCAAACATATATATGGCGGCAGACAATTTCACTTGACAAATGTTCCTGGTTAACATACAAAGATAAGCTAGGAAGCTATAGGTACCACTGATGTCCAAACCAACATAATGCATTTGCGACCAGCATGGATCCAGACCAGCCTGCGCATTATGTTGGTTTTGTCATGACACTGCTCATATGACCCATTAAAGTGCCCTGCATGCAACCATACAGCCTTTTACTATTCTGTTGTTAGCTCAATTTTGGTATTGAGTGATATTGAACTTTAAATGGACCATTCTAAATTCAAAGCTGGAAATAATATCACAAATTCAGCAGGTTACAGGCTTCTTGCTTCAGTCCAGGAATATTGTCTTTTATAAAATTATATCTCTCTTATAAAACATACAAACATCCTCACTTATAAAACATACAAACATCCTCACTTATAAAACATACAAACATCCTCACTTATAAAACATACAAACATCCTCACTTATAAAACATACAAACATCCTCACTTATAAAACATACAAACATCCTCACTTATAAAACATACAAACATCCTCACTTATAAAACATACAAACATCCTCACTTATAAAACATACAAACATATAAAAATTGATTCTCAAACCACTGATAAAATAATCTTCATAATCTCCACATTTAGTCAATGTCCATAAACTGTCTGACAATTTGCATAATTTGCATACTCTAAATAATCAAGTTAGTGTAAACTAGTATATTCAGATGCTACAAATGTCCAACAATCTGTGAATATTAGGCCTATTTTATCTTATAATATAATTCCTTGTGTCATAATTTCCATCAAAATTTCATTTATTTATCCCTGTGGTTTTTCAGTAACATTAACTATAGCTGGCATGAAGGTCCCTAGTGTCTCATGCTCTATTTCAATGTCTTTATTAACTTCACTTCTTATTCCTGAAATGATCAGTAAAACTCTACTATAGCATACCTTAGTGTCCAAAAAAACATAAAATTTGGTCTCTTTATGGGTGTTTTTGTGTAGTAACCTGACTATACCAAGAGTCCAGTTGGAAATTTACCAAATATTAAGCTTTAATATAGTTTGTACAAGTTTTATTTTAAGTTGATTCATCACAAGAACTTCTACTATTTCCAAATGTGCAGCTGAAAGAAGCCAAGGTCCTCTGGAGAAAGAATTAGGTCAAGATACAAGATAAAAGATAAATGTATAATTTAGGCCAATAATTGTATCCAAAATATGCAAAACAAGCTTTAGGTCATTAACAGAAAGACAATTTCACAACAAGTTGAGAATTTGTTTTTATAGACATTATAGTTAAATACCTTATAAATACCCCCATTCAAAACAACAAACCATTAATGAGCTGAAGGATATTACCTAACAGTATCTTTCACCCAATGCTACATTTAATTTCTGCAATTTCTAAGAAAAGCCATTAAGGAAGATCTTTATTCAAGTCTCCAAAATATGAAACCAAATAAAGAACTTACTACGTCTAAACCAATTACGTGTAGGAAATAGCGTGCAGTGGTCTTAAATCAGACATAACAAATTTTCCAAGCAACCTTTTAACATTTCATTCCAAAATCAATGCCACAATGAACAATAAATACTGGCATTCATCCTATATGCTTTCTTGTACATTATAAATAAGACTGTATTTCGTTCCCTCTTTATTTCCTTCAAAATTTTCAAAAATTTCAATATAAAAAACTATCTCAGATGACTGTCACCTTAACTTGATTTTTTAAACAATCAATAAGTCCTTAGTAATAATTCTATGCTGTTTCTGAGTAATATTTCTTTAAACTGTGTGAAGGAACTGCAAAAGGTTTATTTAAAAGATTTAACTTTCAAAGCACTTAACCTAAATTGAGCAATTTTAAGTAAAGTCTTTTTCTGACTAATTAATAAACTGGCTGCTTCAATTACATGAATTATTAGGGCTGGAAATTTAAAGTCTTTAATTACTTACTTTGAGGGTTGGTATTGTTGCATCATGAGGGTTTGAGAAATTTGCATATGACGGTTGGAATCATTGCATCATGAGGGTTGGAATTATTGCATCATGAGGGTTGCAGTATTTGCATAATATGAGGATTGGAATTGTTGCATCATGAGGGTTGCAGTATTTGCATAATATGAGGATTGGAATTGTTGCATCATGAGGGTTTGCGGAATTTGCATAATATGAGGGTTGGTATTGTTACATCATGAGGGTTGCAGTATTTGCATAATATGAGGATTGGAATTGTTGCATCATGAGGGTTTGCGGAATTTGCATAATATGAGGGTTGGTATTGTTACATCATGAGGGTTGCAGTATTTGCATAATATGAGGATTGGAATTGTTGCATCATGAGGGTTGCGGAATTTGCATAATATGAGGGTTGGTATTGTTACATCATGAGGGTTGCAGTATTTGCATAATATGAGGATTGGTATTGTTGCATCATGAGGGTTGCGGATTTTGCATAATATGAGGATTGGAATTGTTGCATCATGAGGGTTTGCGGAATTTGCAAATGTAGATACAGCTCACTCTACATTTTTTACCCTGAAAACACTGCCAACATTTCTTTTCTTACCAGTAGGAAAAATAATTTCTCATTTCAGTTTATTTCATATAAATGTATATAATATATATAATGGATCTCATCAGACATACACTAGATTGCTCTGTCCAAACTTTTATTTATTGTTAAGCTTCCAATCACCTCTAAATGTATTATATTTCTATACCAATTCAGTATCAGTGTAAAATGGCGTGACTCAGTTATATAGAAAACAGTAACTTAACTATTATATTTAGCAATTTCCTTCGCCTATTGATAAATGGTAAGAAACGATATTGGTTACCATTTAATAGTTGCGTTTATTTTCATCGAGACTCCCAAAGGGCCATGTCTGTACAATATCATGGTATGAATTCAAATTAGCTCAGTACAAGATTTCTTCTTTTAGAATATAGTAGTGCAATTTTGTGAATAAATACAGCTGTGATCAAAATGACAAAAAATAAAAACAATTAAAATCAATTAAAGCTATAAATTATCTATATATTAGAATATAAAGCAATAGTGAATATAATACAAAAACCAACTAATGCTGCACAAACCAAACTTCAAAATGGTAGTGTGACCTTGACCTTTGAGGTAGGGACGTGATTATTGGACGCCACACATCTTCTTGATGTTGCAGACATTTATGTTAAGTTACTTTAATATCCTTCTATGCATGACAAAGTTACAGCCCGGACACGATTGTGTGTACCTATTAATTCTAATTGTGATAATGTGAAACTTCAAAATGTTAGTGTGACCTTGACCTTAGAGGTAGAGACTAATTCTTGGACGCGACACATGGTCTTGATGTGGTAGACATTTATGCCTAGTATTTTAAAATCCTTCAATGTATAACAAAGTTACAGCCGTAACAGGAATGTGTGTACCATAGATATTTACTCTAATTGTGATAATGTGAAACTTCAAAATGATAGTGTGACCTTGACCTTCGAGGTTAGGACGTGGTTCTTGGGCGCAACACATTGTCTTGATGAGGTAGACATTTGTGCCAAGATATTTCAAATCCCTCAATGTATAACAATTCTTGTTACAGTCCAGACACGAATGAAGTGGGACAGACGGATGGACATTCCAAAATTTTTGCTTTTGGGGCTATTTTCTTTGTTATTTTCTTTGTTTTCTTAAGGGCTACTAGCCCCTAAACCCTTTGATCATGGAATGAACCTTTCGTTCTCTTTTGTTCTCTTTACTGTTATATAGCCCCTAAACCCAAAATGTTTGCTCTGACGGAAAAACAGACGGTGCAATTATATTATGCCTCTCTTTGGGAGCATAAAAAGAAAGATAATTTAAAACCATGAAAAAAAACAACAGTTAACAAATACCATGTTGAATTTATCTGACAATAATCATAACATCTGTACAGTAGCTGTAATATCTCCAAGAACTTCATTCATATGTCCCTGTAGTTTTCACAAAATATTAACATCATCAGACACGTTGGATCCACATGGTTATAATACCACTCAAATTGTCTCTTTTAAAATATTTCTTTTTATTTTTTTTTCTTAAAACCAACACATGAATGACTTCCTTGTTTTAATGATTTGTTGTCTTTCCTTTTTATTATCCAATTAACTTTCAAATAGAATTTTAATGAGGAGACATACACATTCAAAGGTTATCATGATTTATAAAATGAAATAAAAAAATATGCAGAAGATCTATTAAACAGTGACACCTGGTTTATAACCATTGAGACAGGCTTATACCTTATATATACGATAATGAACTATCTTATACCTTATATAGGATAATGAACTGTCTTATACCTTATATACGATAATGAACTATCTTATACCTTATGTACAATAAGAACTATCTTATACCTTATGTATGATAATAAACTATCTTATACCTTATGTACGATAAGAACTATCTTATACCTTATGTATGATAATAAACTATCTTATACCTTATGTACGATAAGAACTATCTTATACCTTATGTATGATAATAAACTATCTTATACCTTATATACAATAATGACCTATCTTATAGGATCTTATATACGATAATGAACTATCTTATACCTTATAAACGATAATGAACTATCTTATACCTTATATACGATAATGAACTATCTTATACCTTATATACGATAATGAACTATCTTATACCTTATATACGATAATGAACTATCTGATACCTTATATACGATAATGAACTATCTTATACCTTATATACGATAATGAACTATCTTATACCTTATGTATGATAATGAACCATTTTATACCTTATGTACGATAATGAACTATCTTATACCTTATATACCACAATGAACTATCTTACACCTTATGTACGATAATGAACTATCTTATACCTAATATACGATAATGAACTATCTTATACCTTATGTATGATAATGAACCATTTTATACCTTATGTACGATAATGAACTATCTTATACCTTATATACGATAATGAACTATCTTATACCTTATATATGATAATGAACTATCTTATACCTTATATACGATAATGAACTATTTTATACCTGATATACAATAATGAACTATCTTATACTTTACATACGATAATGAACTTTGAACTCTTGTACCTTCATTTTCATATTAGTACATTTTTTTGCTTTTGAACCAAATTTAACTTGGTGTCAATAAATGACAAAATTTGATGTACTGTATGGAAACAAAAACAACAACATTTTGAATAAATTTAAATTCTCTGATGGTGGCTACTGAATCAATTGAAAAGGATCAGTGCAGACCAAGATCATCCAACACATCCATGTCATCTCATGATCATAATGTCTGCACAGTGTTTGCTATTAGGGTCAGTACTTATTTTTAAATTTCCCCTGAAAAGCAATAAATGGTTCTGTCCAGATTGAATTACAGACAAGTCTGTATAAGATATTTAGCATTGTAAGGGTTGAACAGTAAGATAAATCGTGGCTTAGCTTTTTATTTATTTAAATAATGGAAAGATAAACAGGACAGAAAGATGAGCAGACAGACATACAGAAAGACATACAGACAAATAGACAGACACTTAAGTGAATCTTGATCCCATAATTACATAATATCCATACACATAATTGATATAGTTAGTGCAAGAAACAGCAAGAATGAAAGCTCTAAGGCTATGACTAGATATAAACAAAACCACTGTAACAGTATAAACCAATTATGTGTAGATATATACAAAACCAGTCTGTAACAGTATCTACAGAAACTGGGGAGCACCGGCTTTAATCAGACATTACAAATTTTCTCCGCAACCTTTTCACATTTCATTCCAAAATCAATGCGAATGTGAACGATAAACAATGCATTTATCCTATATTACTTCCACGCCAAGGATCTGCATTTAGATGAAATCATTTCCCTCCCTGTTTAAGAAAAGTTTTCCAAGATAAAGCGGAACAATCCAAAATAAACGCTACATTGCAACTTTTCCAAGAAATATTTCTTGACAGGCAAATACAGTTACAGCTAAACTATTAAACTGTGAACACGCTTCACTATCATAGATGTATCATTAAAATCTGAAATATATGTACACAAAAATCTTACACGAATCATTTTAGTTAACCTACAACTTAATATCACATACAAAATTTATTAAAAAACCAATTTTTATAATCCTTTGATAGTACATGTCATGCAAATCTAAAATATTGCAATGTTGACAAAATGCATAAGATTGTTACATGATGTACAAATCTACAAATGTACAGCAGAAATTTTGAATTCAGACGAAAGACTTCTGAACTTACAAACATGGAGCATACTGGAGCATACTGGGTTTGTTATAATACTTTTATATCAATTTCAGGGGCAAAACTTTGTCAGTGAAATGCAATGAAGAGTTGTGAAACTAAGCACTTGTGAGACCTGACAGTCATGTTTTAAGTTTCAAATTAATAGCTGAAGTGGTTTAACAGGTATGAAAGAAAATCAATTTGGATTGGGACAAAGCGATTCCTATATAGCTTCCACCCCAAAACACCCCCCACCCCAACAATATCATCCACACTATATTTTATGTTTGTAGGGTATAATCAGTACTGGTGTTATATGAGGTAACAAGGTAGTAACTTCAGTAGCACTCAAACCTAAGATCTCTATTTGCTAGGCAGACACTATAACCACTAGGCCATCACTCTGTCGGCTCATATTTATATAACACAGATTTCAGTATCAAAATGCCAGAACTGAGGGAGTCAGCTTCACTGCACAGTATCTGGCTATTCTTCATGGATATATAGACTGAAGTGGTCAAATACTGGTGAGAATGGCCAGTCCTCATCAACTGAAAAGCTCACAAAGCACTTACATAAAATCCTGGACCCATCATCCACAATACGGTAAACACTTGATCATATAAACACTGTGAATTAACAGAGTCCATTATTTAGTCCATATTGTCATGATGTCCACTTTACATACACACACATTCACATGTACATATATAACATATGTATCACACAATGTTATTATTTCTTTAAATAAACAAAAGGATAATGTATCTCACAATATACATAAAAGTCCACAAAAACTCTCTCTGAAACCACTATTACACATGCATCTTTTGGCACAAAGAGCTGGTATATTTCTCCTCTCAAAATATAATAATAAAAAAATCACAGTTTTGTTTGGAAAAAGCAACACCCTTTCTTGGAGATTCATTACTAGTTCACAACATGTTGACAGGTGTTATAACAGACTAATCTTAGTTTTACAGTAGCAAAGTCAATTATTTAGTAACAATTTTCCAGGCCAGAGATATTTAGAATTTCAATTATACATGAAACCATCTGTATTGTAATTTTACAAACAAACTGGTTTCAAGTTTCAGAAAACTAAAACCTTTCCTCTTATTGTTTTAATTTTAAAGTAATTTATGTCATTTTTCTAATAACAATATACAAGCAAACCTGTATGATGAAACTTCTCAAGAAAAACACAAAGAACCTTATATAAAACGACTATCACGTTTTAAACCTTTTGTAAATTAAGGACCCTTTGTTTAAGGACACTTTGTTTAAGGACCCTTTGTTTAAGGACTCATATTGTCAAAGGACTAGCACATTTGAAACCTTTTGTCTAAGTACTATCATATTTGTAACTTTTTTTCTAATGACCATCAGAGTTAAAACCTTTTGTCTAAGGAGTATCATATTTGAAACCTTTTGGTATAAGGAATATAATATTTGAAACCTTTTGTCTAAGGAATATAATATTTGAAACCTTTTGCAAAGGAATATAATAACTGAAACCTTTTGTCTAAGGAATATAATATTTGAAACCCTTGTCTAAAGATTACAATATTTGAAACCTTTTGTCTAAGGAATTATATATTTGAATTGAAACCTTCTGCAGGGTTAGGGTTAGGATATTCTAAGGAATATCGTATCTGAACCCTTTGACAAAGGACTAACAATTCTGAACCCTTTGACAAAAGACTAACAAATCTGAACCCTTTGACAAAGGACTAACAAATCTAAAATATTTTGTCTAAGGAATATCATATATCATATAAACATTTGACTTAAGACTATAATATTCAAAACCAACTTTCATATAAAGACAATAATATTCTTTACAAACTTTTAACACTGTAAAATCAGAATGTGAAATCTAAAGTTTCTATTAATCTGGCCTTACAATCAATATCATGAAACTATCTGCAAAAGCAATAAAAAAAGTTCCAACTCATTAGAATAGAGACAGCTGCAGTCAGTTGTATCCTATAACACTCATAAATGTAATTAAAATGTGCAAAAAGAAAGTTCCCCCAATCATATCTACATACTCTCAAAGTCAGCACCTAGCTCAACTGCTTGTAGTGAAGTGTCAAAAATGCTTGAACCTGTTCAACTATATTACATGTATTTTTTATAATACTGAATGTTTATAACATCGCTTTTCATTGGATAACCGGGACGTTTATATAGTTTTTATATACATGGCAACTGTCAATTTATCAAGAAATCTCGGTGTGTTTTTTTTCTCTAAAAGAAGATGTATGCTGTATTATAAATTCGTTATAAAGATTTCTGACAGGTTATATGACTGTATATAAATGGTTGTTTGCAATATAACCCTCACCTTTCCAAACAACAGTTTATATAGGGCCATATAACCTGTCAAAAATCTTTATAACTAATAATATATAATTATGTCTGTTTGTCATTAGCTTTTGGGATATATTTGTCTGTATATAACTTTAAAGCTGCAATTTTTGTTGTAAAAACAATTCTGTGTTGTTACAAACTATATATTACAGTAATTTTTATCATAAATAATGTTTTATACCTTATAATAATATATAATGTATCACATCCACATCATGTTATAAAAACTCATTAAATTATGTACCAATTTATTCAAATAACTTCAAATTTTCATAGATTTATGTATATTTGTTTTCTTAACTTTATATAAATATAAATTCTGAACATCATGAGAAACTTTAAACAAAACAAAAAACACCTGTCTTTCAGAATAATCTTATAATCTTGTAAATCTTATATTTAAGAATGTAAGTTACTGTAAAATGAAACAAAATTGACATAAATATGATTATTTTTATACCACTACGATGGTTTACTTTTAACAGGCTTCTGTATCCAATCTTAGTCCCATATACCAAATATTTGGGGTTTTTTCTTGATTTTTTCGAGGTATTTTATGGAATAGTCCAAGGGAGACAACTACTATAATTTTACTTTCAGTACAGCAGGAGTAATTCCCCTTGTATAAAATTTTAGATGATAACTTATCTTGGTAGGAAACTCTCACTATTAAGTGTCTTAGTACAAACCTGCTGTAGCCGGTTTGGTCTACAGTACACGGGCTGTTCCGGGAGTCGAACCACTAGGTGAACTTTGTGTTTATATCTTCTAAACACTTTCTGCATACTTCCAGAATTAGTAACAACATGTATGATAGTATTAATGCAACTAAAGTCATGAAAATTTAGCTACTTTCTTTTTCTTTTAACATCAATAAACAAATAAATTCATGTTGTTGCATTCTTAAATGATTTATTTTTTTATACAATTTTTTAGCACTTTTTTTGCCACAAAATTCCAGTATCACATGTAACAATACACCTGTAAAAACACCTGAATATTTTAATATTGTATGAAATAAGTTAATAACAACTTATTTTCTAAATTCCTTTTTTTCTGCCATGTATATTTTCATCGATATTTAACCAGTCTTAACCCTTTTTTAAAAAAATAAATCTGTCAGTATGAAATGCAACAAGATTTATTCATTATAACTGAGTAACTATATCAAAGTTGTTACAAAGAAGTTCATGTTTCCTGCACATTGGTGTAACTTCCTTCCTTATACTCACACCAACTTTTACTTCAAGTTAAACAACAAATAAAATATTATATCCACATCATAATTATGTTCACTATACAATCTTTAAACGAATCACAAAAACTTTTTTTCATTGTCAATGACTTTCACATCCCACATAAGAAAAACAGAACTCTTTCTTTTATATAATGTTTCTCATAAACTTAACAATTTCACATCATAATTAAAAAAAAAAAATAATAATAAATAAACATTATGACAAATAGAATCATCCATATCATATTATCATGTTTTTCAAACAAAACAATATGGAAATAAATTTTTTTTTAAATATATGATTTCAATGAAAATATGAAGTTGTTAAATTTATATGAAATAACGTTACCAAAATTTTTTTCTATTTTTCATAATGCTTTTTGAAAAACATGATAAATGATATAGATGAGCATCTTTTAAATTCAGCTACGTTAGATCAGATCCTCTACAAGTTTCTTACACAAATGTTTAAATACATGTACCTCCCCCCCCATCCATACCTCTATTATCTTTCTTTCCAGCCACATTATAAATATTTATCTAATATCTTAATATTTATCTTATATCTATAAAAAATGAAGAATAAAAAAGGTGAGGCAAAATGGAATAGGTAAGACTCATGTTTTAAGTCCCAAACAACCCCAAAGTTCCAAAATAAATTGTTCTTTTTTGTTTTTTTTGCCATTAAATCATTTCTGATACTGACCTGAACTTCTCCATACATGAGTAATCTTTGAAAGCGTTTTCTCACTTATAATCATTCTTTTTTAGGTATTAAATTTGAAATTATCTTCTTTTTTTTTCCTTTGGGGTCTTTTAAATGTAAAAATTTCCTTTGAGGGTCTTTTATAAACAATCATAATAATTTTGTAGAATTTACATAACTGAAATGAATGTTCCATTTCTGGGTTTTTGATAATCTTTCTCTAAGGTGTGGAAGTAATAGAATTGTGTATGTTTATAACTTCCACACCTTAGTGAAAGATTATCAAAAACAAATATTAACCTAGCCTTTTTCCTCCAAAACAGATATTACTATTTATCTTATCTTTATAGAAAATATGTAAAAATAGTAAACACTGTCTCTAGCAGGTAAGGCTCCCACGTTTACAATTTTTTGTAAACGTTTACACGATTGCTAAGAACCGAAACGATACCCTTTAAACGGTGGTACCTCTATGTACTATATGCACCATATATATATATATGTCGCCAAATGATGACTTACTTTTTATCTTTAATACATGTACAAATAAAGAATGTCCAGGGCTTATCACAATTGAGTCAGCACATATTTTCTGTATTGTATCTTCATTTTTTACCAAAAAAGTATTATGTCACGAGCAATTTTTGCACGGAAATGCTGTGTGTAGGGTTGTACACGTCCTTTTTTCTTTTTTTTTTACTTTGGAATAGACCACTAGAATTGATAAAATCAATGATAATAGGCAATGATTAAGAAAGTTTGTAAGACAATATGTTCATTTCGATTAAACGGTAGAAAATATCGTAAACGTTTACGAATGAAAATCGAAACGAAACCGTTTAAACGTGTAATCGTGGGTAAACTAGCAGGTAAACCTTAAGTAAAGAAATGCGTATAATACGCCTTTAACTTTGTTGGCATCATTTTATATAAATGACACTGCATGCAGAGAGTTTATAACCTCTTCATTGATATACTTTTATAATCTTTTTAAAATGGCAGGTGTTAAATAAATTCTATCTTTTTAATGTGGGCTATCCATTACATGATGAAAATGTGAGAATAATAAATTTGATAATCTATTCATTATCATACCCCTATTTGGTTGACTTTTTTTCATTCAAAACTGGTTTGTATTTGACTTATCATATTTACAATAAATATTTTCAGATCTGTCATATCACATCATGATTTGTTTTGTTGGTTTTTAAGTCACACCAACACTTTAATGATTATATGGCAAATTTAAAGTTTTACTAATGGAGGAAAATCTAAGATACTGTTCCATGCATTTTATGAGGCTAAAGTGTGTGCTTGTGTCGAACTACCGACATTCTGGTAGCCAGCTGGATAGTTTTCTCTCATAATAAGAATCCACAGTTTATGGTGGGATTCAAACCCATGGTGGTGATAGGCATGTGATTTAAGTCACAAACCTAATTACCAGAGTATTCCAATGGAAAACTTTATTGTATAATTTATAAAATGAAAAGTCAAGATTGGCTGTAACACCACCTTATTTGGTATATTGCAGGTTTGTCATATGAATTTTCCTTGGATAATTCCGATGTTTAATCTATAAACTATAATCTATATAAACCGCTACTATAAATTTATATATAAACAGTTGTTTGCTTATATAACCCTTAACTACCCGCTTTGGTCATATAAGCTTCAAACAATTTATATAATCTATATTTTGTGCATGTTTAGAATTGATTAACCTAGCAACCGGAATAATTACGATATTACGATGTTATCTATATACACCGCTACTACGAATTCATATATAGTTATTTGCTCATATAACACATAACTTCCCACTTTGGTCATATATGCTTCAAACAATGTATACTGGGTCATATAACAGGCTTAAACTCTATATATTTAATATAATACAAGTTTTGACATATTCAAAACTAAGCATATAAAGCAAGGTAAACACGTCAATACAAATGGTACTTACATTCAGCAGGTTGTGAAGTTTGGTATCTTCCAGCACTTCCTCGAGAAACTCGCCTTCTCCGCTCGTACAGTCAACAAGACACGTTATCTCTTCTAGAGAATCCAGAACCTGGGACACTGCTCCTTACAAAACGGAGAAAAAAACAAATGCATATCTTAAATCATGTGCATGCAAAACTAGGCTAGTATATGTATATATATAGGTAGGGTATAATATAGGTAGGTTATTATAGTTTTAATATTTCCTTGTTAGTTTCATGCAAGCTTATATAAATCATGAGTAATTTTAGTTATTTGGATAATTACGGTAGAATATTTTTTCCTAGTAGTGATTCTTCATTAATCTGATGATATACTTGGACATGGAAACCTTTTTAAAGAACAAATTCAGTGGGTTTTTTTCACCCATTAATGGAAGAAATGTAAGCAATGTAAGGGAGACAATCATGTATTAATTGAATCAAACTCAATTACACAGTTACAGTTCTTGTCTGCATCATCTGTCACATTTGAGAGTGCTTGTTTCCATTTTAATAGTTCTTGAAATTTTGGTAAGTTAATCCTTAACGAACATCTCTTATTTTTAAATACATCTAAGTTTGAGTTTTAAAGATTCATTGTTTTAAGAAACTATTTTTTTATATTTTAACCTAAAAGGTCTTGTAAAGTAAGTTCAAAATTAAAGTCTTAACAACTGTAAATTACACCAGTAAATGAGATTTCTTTGAACTACTTGAGGCAGAAAAATCAGTCGTCTAATGTTAGGTAATTTGCGTGATTTTCTTCCATTACAAAATGTCAGCTTGAAGGCGTTACTTTCAACTCACAAGATTTTCAGTTAAAGGACTTTGACCTGTCTCTTAATTAAAGTGACATAATGCTCATTTTATTATTGTCAAGTTGAGCTGAGAATTGAATATATATTACAAAAGATTCACTGTTACAATGGATAATAATTATAGAACCAACAACTTTCCCTTAGCTAGATGGATAGCATTCCCTGTTGGGATTTGAACCCACAGTGGTGATGGGCAAGTGGTTTCACGTCAATGACCTTAACCACTCGGCCACGGATGCCCCTTTTGGTTTACACTTTGTAAAAAGCTTTAACCTGTAGCTGCTGGCAATAACAGATTGTTCAACTAAATGTTTGATTTTCAGTCAGTAAATATTTTTGTACAATTTCCCTTAAAATGATGAATAGTCTTGCCAAGTATGATGAAGACATCTTTTAAAGATATCTGTATTTTTTGGGAAGGGATTAGCAAGTTGAGGAACATAGATTTGAACTAGAATTGAGTAATTTTAAAGTTTCAAATTTCAAACTCATACCAAACATGAGAAAATGGAGAGTTACCCCCCTTGTTTAACTTATTGAAGTAGCAGAAGGACCTGCTCCTTTTTCAGCAATATATTGTGTTAATATTCATTATTGCATGTAAATTGTGTTTGTGCAAAATGTTTGTAATAAAATAATGTTTAAACTTAGTAGGAAAACTATAAAATTGTGACTATGAAGTCAATTCTAAAGACAGTAAACCTTAATGTAATTTAATGCCACAAATTGCCTTAAGCTGTTCTATTCTAAAATTAACTTAAGTCTTATATTGAATTACAAAGTTTTTGCCAATTATAAATTTAGATCACTATAAACATTTCTTTGTTTGTTTGTTATTGGGTAATCAACAAGTTTTCTACATATTGAGTCTATAAAATGTGATACTTAGGATTTCTTATGACATTTCCATTCGCATTATAAAAACAAATATTATTTTGGTTGTTATGTTAAGCTTGGATTCATGCACTGTTGAGATGTTAGAAATTTAATAGATTTGCATGCCCATGCTCAATAATATAATTATATACTGCATATTTTGTCTCTCAGTTACCTTATATAGCTTAATGGCATAATTTTATTGTAAAGTCAAATGGAAGTTAATCAAGTACAAGAAGAAGCCTAGTAGAACCACCTACCTACATGGTAAAATTACCAACTAGTATTATTTTTACATGTGACAGATGGTAAAATACCAACCAGTATGTCACCGATATTTGACACATGTTAAAATTTACCAGCCAATATATTACAGATGGTAAAATTACCAACCAGTGCTAGTTATATCCTCTTCATTAAGTTCGGGATGTGGTGGATCATTGTAGAAACCTGTCCACTTCGTACTTGATACTGCTGCCATTATAGCACCCTGTAAAACAGTAATGTATGATTTACTTCCCTTTGTTTCAATACCACCATTTACTGTATGATTTACTTCCCTTTGTTTCAATACCACCATTACTCTTGTCAGCTTTCTTTAAATACAGATCTAGGCAGTGAATAAAGAGTTGTCTGATAATTTATTTTGGTAATGAATGCATATATTTTGTGTTGCTTTTTTCTGCTAGGAAACAGTGGATAATCTAGTGGTAAAGTCCCAACATAAAGGCCCCAGCTCTGTTGTCAAACAGAGTATTGGACAGAAGGTAAAGCCTGTTAATATCCCCTGGAGAACATTGTCCTTTCCCATACATGTGAACTCTCCCACTTTAAACGGGAGACTCCCACTTTCTGCAGCCATATTTTCAAAGATTTTTCTTAAAAAAGGGGGTATTTTCACAAATAAAAGAAATCTCACTCTTTTTGATGTCTGGATTCTTTTCTTTGTTTATCTCAAATTCTAAAATCTCCCTTTTTTGAAGAAAAATCTCCCCCTTGATCATCAAAAAAAGTTCACATGTATGCTTTCCATGGGCTGGGCTTATAATTGACTTTTGCATGATCCTCGGACTGATAACTGAAATATCACAGCCTGAAATATCATAGCCTATTCCACCAAAATAAAGCCAGGCCAGCCTGAATATCACAATATTGCATGGCCCTGCATATAGTTTGATGTGACATCCTTTGGGTTATACAATAAACAAACATAGCGTAAAGATGCTCTAAATATTAGCGTTATACTCTTACAGTGTCCATGTAAAATGACTCTTTTCTACTGTAAAAAGTTTTTAATTTTAGATCTATATGATAAATAGAATATTAATTTTTTGTCTTTAGTAAATTTATTGATATTGTTGAATAAATTAATATTATGCTCGCCAGAGGCTCCCACAACAACAGTTTTATTCAACTTGTTAAACCTATACTCATTCAATATCCTCCATGTCTTGCACATTGCTTGGTTTATATGATTTTGAGGCTGAAACCCCCCAAACAATAAATGGAAAGGCCCAAAATTAAGGCAGGGCAAGTTCATTTCAATTAAACAAGGTAAATGGTTTAGCAAACAGAAAATAGATAGACACGGAATCCTTCTAAACACCCTATTCTCGTCCCTATCAACATTTCTAGATAAAACTAATTTGTTACCAATATAGAACAATGGAGAATAAACAAAATCATAATCAAATCAATGTCTAAAGCTAAGATGTTACAAACCTTTAATTTTCTTCTTGCGTTAAATTTCTTCAGTTCTTCCACAGTTTCTGTCAAATGACTTTTAGATATTTTAGATCTCTCCTATATGAAAGTAAAGCAAAATTTCATACAAGATTGCAACGTTATTTTATCCGGTGAACATATTATATCCTTATTTACATGAACAAATCATATTAAGATAAAACAATTATTATAATTATTATTCTCATACAATGAGCTGTTCAATTTATAACACAAGGAAAGTGTTTCTTACAAAACAACTATATAATGAAATATGTACATGTAAAATATACTTGAACTTTATAAAGGAAGTTTGCCTCACATCTTTTAAAAGATAATGATTGTTAATTGTGCATAACTATATGTCCAGGCAGAGATTTATATACAAGACTGTATCTCACAAAAAAATAACCAAGCTTTAATCAACAGATCTTCTATTTTACTTTTTACATTTCTTCATAATAAGACAAAAGATGAAAGTGCTTGGCTCATATTCTAGCCAAAAAACTTAGTCTTTACGGAATTTAACTTAAGATCATTTGTACCGTAAGTTATAAACTTATAGACAAACACTCAAATCCTTTCTTAGAATCAATCTGTGTAGCAAGCAATTCAGTGTTTCTTACTAAATAAATAAACAAACCAATAGCTAGCCCTGACAGGGTTTGAACCCTATAGCCATAGCCAGCGATCTATAGATTACTAGTCCGATGTGTTAACCACTTGTTAATGCCACTCAACCATGCAATCCAAGTTGTTCAAACCAATATTTTATAAATAAAACTTTACTATTACCCAAGTAAATATATTGGCAATGGCACCAAAACAAATAACTGATAATTATAGGCTATCAAAGAGCTAATGTAAGATTGAAATACAGTTTAGACACAACCATTAAGATTTTTTTATCAATAATTAGCTCCCTTTAAACTTAATAGTTACCTCCCTTTAAAAATACAAAATTACTTCCCTTTTCCACAATAAGTGACCTACCTTGATCCATGGATGAGCAAGTGCCTCTTCAATAGTTATTCTTTGTTCAGCATCAACCTCCAACATTCTTGACACAAGATCTTTGGCTTCTGGAGAAATTGTTATCCATTGTTTTTCCCGCATCTGAAGTAAGTTCAAAATTACATTCCATCAAGAAGGAAACACTGGGAACTTAAAAATATTTTCAAGAAATAAAATCTTTGTAACATATTACTTTCATCATAGGATCTAAATTGTTTACTACATGATTTCATTAAATGATATCAGAACATTTTGTATGTTTAGCTATGACCTGGATTTTCAATGATCATTTTATAGTCAGTTACTTCCCTTGCAGAAGAAGTCACCATTTGTCAATAAATACCCCTATCTTGTTGTCCAAATTACATCAACTTTTATTTAATGACTCTGTCATGCTTTGAAGTAAGAAATGCCTGTTTAAATACTTAGTTCTTTTTTTTTACATAGACTTTTTTTTCAAATCTGTAAACAGGAAAGAGTCTGGTATGAAATGAATGATAGAAGAGTGACAAAATGTTTGTTCCATTGTGGTGTAAGGGAAACCTTAAATCTGTCCATATATTTCAGTCATATTTTTACCTTGCAAATCAAACAATTATCAAGAATTCATCACTTTTTATAAGCAGTATTCTAAATATTAAATTTTCTTGGTCAAATATCATGTATGTAAACCTGCAGCATATATACATATATTTAATTTTTCAAAAAATGGATGTAGGAAACAAAAATTACTAGAAATGTATCTCAGAAAACTATTACAGCCATAAAATTGTACATATTTGTTATGTTTGACAGCTATTTTTGTAACTGTCAATGTCAATAAAATGTCACATCCTCAGTTTCCTAAATTTATGGCCTATATACAAGCTGTATAGTGAAACTGAGTGAAATCCTATCAATTTGGTAATTTTAGCATTGATTTCCCCGTGGAATATTCAAATCATTAGAGATAATTCTAATTATCATTACTGTGTCTGTCTAATGGGTATTGGGTAATCTAGTTAGTTTCAAAATATTCACTTCAGGAGCCTTTTATAATGAGCAAAAACAGGAAGTGTCTTAAGTAGTCTAAAAATGATAAAGCTAATTGTGTAAATATTCTTGTAATTTATCATTCTGTTCAATGACAACTCATTGAAAAGTCACTGAAGATTTAAAACAAGACCGTGACCATACATGATATTTCCCTGTACAAAACAATAAATTTTTTACTGATATTTTTCCAGTACAAAACAATGATTTTTTACCGTACAAGACAATGATTTTTTAACTGATATTTTTCCTGTACAAAACAATGATTTTTTTACCGATATTTTCCCTGTATAAGACAATGATTTTTTTACCGATATTTTCCCTGTATAAGACAATGATTTTTTTACCAATATTTTCCCTGTATAAGACAATGACTTTTTTTACCGATATTTTCCCTGTATAAGACAATGACTTTTTTTACCGATATTTTCCCTGTATAAGACAATGACTTTTTTTACCGATATTTTCCCTGTATAAGACAATGACTTTTTTTACCGATATTTTCCCTGTATAAGACAATGAATTTTTTACCGTTATTTTCCCTGTATAAGACAATGAATTTTTACCGTTATTTTCTTGTACAAGACAATGAGTTTTTAAAGATATTTTCCCTGTAATAAGAAACGAGTTTTACTGATATTTTCCCTGCGCAAGACAATAACTTTTTACCAAAATATTCCCTGTACAAGACAAGCATCCAACACAATATTTTTCCCGAACAAGACAAGCACCTTTTATGATATTTCCCTAGTTACAAGATAAAAATCTTACATGATATTTCCCCTGTACAATGAGATCTGCAAGACGTTCTTTTGTTCCCATAAATGGGGGATACCCACACAGCAGTATAAACAACATAATTCCACAGCCCCATACATCCACTGGCTTCCCATAGGGTTCCCGCTTCACAACTTCAGGGGCCATAAACTGTGGTGTACCTATACGACCTGGAAATACAAGGAAAAGCATAAATTACTTTGAAATTATTCTATATTATTCATGAATGTTGCACAGTGAAAAATATATGGTCTGACCAAATGACAAAACAAGAAGTGCTACCGCCTAGAAGGATCCATGCTCCACTTTTTCTCATCTTGACCATCTATTCAAAAATGCAAAAATAACAGTCAATGTTAAAGTTTTCGGACAACAACAGAAACAGATGACATGACATCTAGCAATAGCTCGATGTAGCAATTATAAGCTCGAATATTTTCTTTCAAAAAAAAAGTTGAGCTAAAAATGAAATGCTACAATAATATGAGATGATATCAGATACTTTAACAAATAAAGTCACACAACTTCAATGGATTTTAAAACAGGTCATTAAAATCAAACTATGAAAAGATTATTTATGCTCTATAGAACATTATTATTGGCAAAACATATTCAACATATTCAGATACAGTAATGAGAGATGATAATATAGATGTGTTTAAAATATGTTTTAATTTATATGACAAATTTCATTTTTTTTGTTTGTTTGTTTGGCTTTACATGACCACAACACAGTATAGGTCATATGGCAATTTTCCAGCATTACTGATGACGGTAGACCGCAGGTGCTCCTCTGTACATTATTTCAGGCACAAGTAGGCAACCGAGTAGAACCACCGTGGTTCCATGAACAAATCTAATTCAGTTTAAACTTGTTTCAACAAGAATAGAATCCTGCACAAGGCATGGAAGTAAAATATTTTATGTAGACATTAATAGTTGCACAGGTTTGTGATGAATAATATTTTATAGCATATCTTAATGGTTAAATATTGTATGATGCTATAAATAAACACATTTTCTTGTACTATCTGGTGAAGAATCTGTTCTTTCTAGTATAAAACAGACATTATAAATATGTCATAACAAGAGCTGTCATACAGACAGTATGCTCAGTTAGTCTATTTTAAATAGCGACACAAAAGCCTTGCAGGATTAACCCTTTCCCTTATGAGCATATTGTGAAAAATGGCCGTTTTCACTGAAAAGCCTCCTGTTACAAGTTCCAACTGCTATGAAACTATGAAAAATGCTTCAATACTAATCAAACTTGGCACAAATGTTGACTGGACCATTGCCTTTGTAACCACATGCTCAGTCTTAAATTTCCTGTTACCATGGCAACTAGGAGACATCTCAAAATTGCCAAAAATCACTATTTTGCCTCGATTTTTTTCCATCAAAATTTATTTCAAAGTGCTGCAACTTCTCAAGGGATTGAGATAGAGTCAAAGGCTTTTCAGCGTTGGTTACACGTTACCTTATGATTGACCTGGAGTCATTTTTAGCCTCTCACAAGTCCAAAATTTTCTTGGCGATGAGGGGGACTCCGCTACCCTTCAAACCCCCCAAACAGAAGGGGGCACATCTGGGGGGGGGGGGGTCGAAAGTGCGTTGTTTCGCGTATATATGAGGTAAAGGGTTAAGAAAGGTAATATTTCAGTTTAAATTTATAATGACCTTATAAGACAGGAAGGTTCAAATGAATATTTTCAGTGGTTTATAGTTTCATTAAGTTTTACAACACTCATGACACCAGAATGTATAGGATAACTTTAAATAGATGAGCTAAAATGTAATTATTTTCTTAATGAACAGCCCCATAGCAGCTACAAATATTTACAAGATAAAAAAAATTAACAGTCTCTTAAAATACAACTCTCTAATTGATTAAACAGTAAAAGTGGCCATGAAAGTAGAATGAAATATTCCAAAAACGCTTAAATAATTGATTGTTAATTAACTACAATAATAAGACAGTTAATTAAACTTCCAATGTATAGTCAAAACTCAGTCTAATACATTCCTAATGAAACTACCGTAGTCATGTACAGTAAACCCTTTAAATGACTCGTACATTGAAACCTTAGAATATAAATCATATAGATTGTAAAATAAACTTTCCATGTACTTTCATAATAATTATAATTGTTTCTGAGAACAAAAGCTATAATATAAAAAGTCTGTATTCTATTCTATGTCAGATATTGTTGTCTAATTTATTAAATATAACTAGCATGTACATATTCTTTGCTGAGACTGTAATCAACTCTTTACAAATGATCCTCTGCTTGATAATAGAACAAGGGCCTGTATAATGTAGTATTTTCTAGGTGCAAAAAGGGCCATGATTCTGTCAAACACCATGTAAGAGTTACGGAACTTCTTCTTAAGTGACCTTCTATTATGCTCTCAAAAAATTATGTCAAGTTTCAATCCAAATCCTTTCATGATTTTTGAAATACAATGTACCAACCGTGCAAAAACTTAACCAAAGGGTGATGCCAACGCCAGGGTGAGTACAATATCTCTGCCTATTCTTCACAAAGTCATGCTAAAAACTTGTTAAATCTGATACAGTTATAAAACAATTGACAATCAGTCCATGTTTTACAATGTCTGTAAATTGAAGAAGAATAATACAATCAATCGGCTTATAAAGCATTTTAGCTACAAATATAAAAGAACTAAATGGTTTACGTAGATTGTTTCCTGTCATTTTAGAAACATTTAAAACACATATTGACTTCTAATGATTCTAAAAAAAAGTCTGGTCAATGTATAGCAAAGATTGCTTTAAATCTATGACAAGTTTTATTTACTTACTTGAAAAAAAACACACTTTATTCTTCAATACATATCATATAAAATAAACAATAAATAAAAAAAGAAATTTTCCAAGCACAACAGAAAAGTTTTGTTAGTTCCTTCAGCCACATGCAAAAGAAAATCACCAAATTGTTAGAAAGAATTCCTACATATCTTTGAAAGTTCATGCAAATGTCTGAACACATACAGAGATGGTTTTCCCATGGAACTAATTCTTCTTCATTTTTGCTATTTTCTGATCCAGCGAAAGTAGAAGCCATTCCTAAGATATTATTCCTTATGGCTAACATCCTCCTAATGCTCCACCCCCACCCAACATACCCCCCAAAAAACCTGTCCCAGTCCAATGTTTCTGCATTTATTACAATAGACTGGTTCCCACTAACCTGCATGCTGAATGAAGTGTTTCCAAAATTTATCTATAAATTACACTAACTAGCTTTCAATTAATATGGTTATCAAACAAGCATTCTTCTAAGAATATGTTATAAAGCAAAATATCAAAGCTTTTGAAGCCATTGTCAAACTGTTTCCCAAGTCAATAAATATAAGCATTGCGTAAATATAAAAGCTAAATTTCATCACCTTACCATATGACTATAGTAACAGCATATAAATAAGAAAGCTGAAAGATTTGGCCTAATGTTGATATCATTTTAACCTGCTTATTATTAATAATTTCTTAAATGAACATTAATTTTAACCTGTGGCTTTCTGAAGGGGAAAATATAGCATGATCAATTTAGAAAAGTGGGGTGGGGGACCTGGAATTAAAATTCCGACAACTGAGAATGAAATTACCCACACATTTTATAAAACTTTCAATTTCAATTCAATTTAACATGCATGGTACACAGACAGCTTTCTGTCTAAAAGCTGGAAGTTAAGTCTTGATTCTGGGGAAGAATGTGCACAGGGCATTTCAGGGGAAAATATAGCATTTTTAGGGGGGAAATATACCTATTTTGGGCTAGGGGAAACCGCGTTTAATTGGCTGTAAAATATAGGAAAATATATCACTATAAAGGTCTGGTCTACAGGGAGAGGTTTTGCATTGACCCCTTGAAATTGTTTAGTGTTAAGGTTTTTTCTAAAGCATTTCTATGAATAAAATGTTAGACAATTTTTTGCAGCAGTCTATGTGTAGCAAGCCTTACCAACACGATCTTCACGTAATTCCAACCAAAGGTCAAGGTTATGGTTGATGACTACATCTGTAACACAGTCATGCATTCTACATCATTCTACATCACATTTCTACATCACAGTTTCATATCAAAATTTAACATAACAACAATTCTACATCAAAATTCTACATCATAATTGAAAATAATAATTCTACAACACAATTTTAAACGTAAATAATCTACATAAAAAATTCAGCCTCGCAATTTTGTATCATTCTACAAGATTAACAGAGCATATCCTAAACTCTTTTATTTTGGGTTTAATAAGTCGTACCAACACAATATAGGTCATATAGCGACTTTCGAGTTTTACTGGTGGAGGAAGACCTCAGATGCCCCTCTGTACATTATTTCAGGACAAACAGGCACCTTAGCTAGCTGGATTACTCTATCACACATAGAATCTAATGACGCTGGTGTGGCTCGAACTAGTACAGTGGTGCAAGGCAAGTGGTATGAAGCCAACAACCATAGCCACACGGCCACAGACGCCCTTTCCTTAAGCTCTGATAGGATTTAAACATCAAATCAAAATGTACTTATAATGAAACCCAAGAATTTAATACCCTACTAGTCAGACTTAGATGGTAAGCAATCATGATCTGCAGGCCTGTCAATAAAATCACAATCACAGAGGTAAAGGAAAGATGGGACATTTAAACTGACTTAACGTTTTACCATATTTCTAATAAAGAACAATTAAAGGAGTGTCAGTATGTAAAGCAGTCCCTTATCCATATGTAATATTATGACACTAACACTGTTCATGCATGACTATAAAATAAACCATGCTTTCATCAACAGGAAGACATTTTACAGTCTCATGACATGGAATACAATAACACAATATTAAGAAAAGATTTGAGGCATGACTTCCAACTTTGCAGTTTATTTAAATATTTTAAACATTATGTAATCAGAAAATTACAATCCGTCACAAATTCTAACATTTGATTGGCTCTTTTATTGTTTAAAGTCTTGTAGCAAACCAATTATAAATTTACATTTTGTAGACCAGTCCAAGTAATTTTATATAGACTGGGCAAAGTAATTTTTCTACGTTCAAGTAATTTCATATATTTTGTAGACCAGTCCAAATAATTTTGTATATAATTATTGTAGACTGTTCGTGGTAATTTTATAACTTTTGTAGACAGGTCAAAGGAATTTTATAATTTTCTACAAGGTAAACTCACCTCCAGAAATCTGTCCACCCTCTGGAAGTTGTACAGCAACACCAAACCCTCCTATTTTCACAGGGGCGGAGTTTTCTGTAGAAGCTAGTAAGACACAATGTGGTTTCAAATCCCTGTGGATGATTCCATTTGCATGACAATATCGCAGGGCTTCCAAAATCTGTCTCATATAGTGGCTGGAACACATGAACAAAAATAGAGAACTATGTTTGTTTGTTTTTTTAAATAAATTAAACATACTTTATAGCAAATATGGATGAAAATCAATTTATTAAGATGGCTTACCTTAAATATGATATAATATTGGTATAACTCTAAAGTGAAAAACTTTTAATAAGGAGTTTCTGGTCCATGGACAAACCCAGAAAATCTGAGCATCCAAAATTTTGTTTCAATGAGCAACCATTGAAGTTACAAATACAAAGCCTGATTGGCAGTATGGTCATGTGGTTAAAGCCTCAGAATAGCAATCTAAGGATCACTGGCCATGTGGGCTCAAACTCCATCAGAGGCAAGCTGTTGTTTTCTTGGGCAAGAAACTTTACACTCATACACTAAGTACTGGTTACTTAGCTTTTAGCTTCCTTAACACATTTAAACTGGAATACATTTTGTATAAAGTAAATAAAAAACCCTTAAATGACTATCAATTATCATTACTGTATGAATCCAGTTAAGTATAGCAAAAACTCAAAGCAACTTATTGTCATAACTCCATGAATTAAAAGAACAGACCTGCACTTCTGACATGGTCTGTATTGATAAATTTGACAATAATTTGTAAACAAAATGAGAACAACAACAGGAAACTGTAGTTACCTAGAAACTGCTTCACTGTACACAAAGCCTGCAGATGCTCGCTTCACTATCTCAAAACATAAGTCAGCCCCATCCATACTGAAAATATATAAAATACATTGTCAATTTACATCAGCAATTATAGGAGCATTAATTTTGCCTTTTTCTTGTGTTTTAGTAAAGAAACCTAATATTAAACCAATGAATTATTATAATAGACTTGCTTTGTTGTGTGGTTTGTTATATTGCTCATTGTCATTTAAAGAATTAATTTAATATCAAAATTCTAAACTTGTCAGAGCTCAGGTGATTATGTAGAGGCCTGACTTAAGACAGCAAAAATGTCAAGAAAAGGTAGTAGTAGCAAGTAGCGGTCAAGATGATCTATCTCTTGACCAAAGATTGTCCACTTCATATGATTGTTAGTTCTAGGAAGCAAACATAAATCAGAGTCACTCAAATAGTCTTCTTCACAATCAAGTTTAAATAATTTAATGTTCAAACTAAACATGTAAACATTGCCTGATGGTTAAATACAAATGAGATATGTGAATCATTTTCATAAAAATTATTTCAGAGAGACACTTTAAATAGGACAAATAAAAACAGAATTGTAAACATTATTATTCTATTATTATCAGAAATCCCGACAGAAAAGTTTGCAATTGGCAGAAGTACAAAAGACATATTTTTGTTTGTTTGGGTTTTACGTCACACCGACACAGTATAGGTCATTTGACGACGTTCCAGCTTTACTGGTGGAGGAGGACTTCAGGTGCACTTCCGTGCACTATTTCAGGCAATAACGGGCACCTGAGTAGAACCACAGACATTCCGTAAGCTAGCTGGATAGCTTCCTCACATGAAAGAATCCAAAGTCCCTGTCAGGATTTGAACCCACAGCGGTGAGGGGCAAGTGGTTTGAAGTCAACGACCTTAACAACTCGGCCACAACATACTTTTGTATAAATATAGCTGTGACATTAGTAGAAGAGAAGAAAATGTCAGCAAAAGTGTCTGTTTTATATTACTGTCTGATGGTCACCACCAGCCCTATATTTCAACTCTCACTTAACTGTGTGGTCAGTAGACAAATGGGAAAACGGCCCTATATTTCAACTCACTACTCTGTGGTCAGTAGACAAACTGGGGGAAAACTCTGGACAGATAAAGTCCCTCTTAATTCTAGATAAGACAGTAATATGTTGATGTTCTGATTGTTTTGTTTACACAATAAATAATGTAATATATTGTCTGTCTACGAGTGGTCATCAGCTATCAGAAAATAACATAACAGGAAATAAGCTGGCACAATATCAGAGTTGATGTAAGGCTGTTAGCACCAGAAATATATAAATACACAAAACTTTATCTACAGAAAACAAAGAGTGAAAAGTTTGTTTGGACCCTGAAAGATTTCAACTCAGTGCCATTGTGTTCAATAATGACACCTTTAATCATAGTTTGGGGACCTTTCTGTTGAAAATGTTTCAAAGTTAAATCGTTTACCCAAACATGCACAGTGTGTTTTAACTGCATGGGGTGCAGGTATTAGTTACCAGAACTCTTGTTTCAACACTGTCTGTCAGGGATAAAATAGAGCATGCTAGTAAATGATTGGCTCATCCTTTTCTGGGCTTTACATATTGTGATGACAGAGAAAAGGGATAACAATAGAAAAGTAATATACAGATGCTCATACATTGGTTACCTTTTTTCTGGGGTTTCAAATTGTGACAACAGGGAATGTGTTTTTATTTTTGGCAATCTGATATATACTGCATAGCCCCCTCGCCTCAATCCTGTTTCAATGCTCTTTCTATTACTTATATTTAAATGATAATCATACATGTATTATGCTCAAATATTTTCACACAATAAGTCGCAAGAAAGTCAATCTTAAATACAGTTCTTGTATTTTTGTAGGTACAAAGTTTTTCTGCAATCTGTTTACCATAATTATACTGACCTATTTTTTTTCTCTCCAAATAATCTCAACTTCTTCACATTGGACATGAGGAGGAGACAGAAGTTTTAGAAGTTGTCGTCTACTTAAAAGGTATCTTTTTGTTCAATTAACACAATAATTATCTTATCTTTCAAGTAACTTAAGTACAATTTCTTTTTCCAAATACAGGGTTAAATAATTTATAGGAAATCAATAAGAAATGGTACCACAGTGGGTTATTTAAGTTGACTAGTGTGTGAAAAATGTGTTCACATTGTCATCAAGTTTACAGTGAGAGTTAACAATTTATAAATAATTAAATATAACACTCTGATGGCTTTCTTAATGAAGATTTACTTAACTCTTATCTTCTACAGATAAGCTAACTTGTAGTATCCATGCTTGCAAAGAAAAATAAAATAAAAGAGCCGCGCCATGACAAAACCAACATAGTGCGTTTGCGACCAGCATGGATGCAGACCAGCCTGCGCATCCATTATAAGTAAACGGCATAGATCCTTATCAGACTGTGCAGATGCACAGGCTGGTTTGGATCCATGCTGGTCACAAACGCACTAAGTTGATTTTGTCATGGCGCGCCTCAAATAGCTTTTGAGATGTCATTTCAATCACATTATAAGTTGTTCAAATATTAAATTCAAATAGAGCAGTGACCTTATTTAAGCGGTTTAGGTGTCTGCGCCCCCAAACCCTGGGATCTTGAGTTAGAGTGAACTTCTGCAGATGTCTCCTAAAATGACATTGGTTTAGACTTAATAGGTGTTCGGAATTTACAATTTACGTAAATAAGCCACAAGCTTTACTTCACAAAATAAATAAATAAAACAAACAATACATTTTATAAACAACCTAAGGAAAAATTTTCTATCAGCCTAAATCAAATATTCCAGCAAGTCTGATGTTTGCTACTGCAACATTCAATTAATCCTTTGTTTTTACCATATAATTAGACTGGTTATCTCAAAATGGCCTTTTTACTGGAAAATACCAGAAAACCAGTCAGCATTATCCTTCACAGACTGTGTCACAGTCTGTAAAAATCAATGAGACTGTGGCCCCTGGGGATCAGGAACTTAATCAAATAGAAGTCTGTAATCTACCTGTCACAGATTAGTGCTAAAAACAAAAACTCCTTTGGCATTATTTGATTTATTTTTCAGATTATTCTCCTAATCAACAGTCTGTCTTTGAAAAGAAACCTTTAACATATTATATTTGCAGGGCTAATAAGTGAAATTGTCTGCAGGAAATATTTTAACTGGTAAATGGTATGAATTATTAAAGAGAATTCTACCAAAACCAGTTTATAATGGATTACTCACTAAGCCAGTTAGACCTAAAAAGGGTCTGAAGTTACTGAAAAATTGTCTGGGGAAAAACATTGTCGGCAAATGAGCTCTCTATTTCACCAGAGGACAATAAATTTTCTCATAGAACCAAAAATCTTCACAAAATTTATAAAGAAATTGAAATAGGAAAGTGCATTTCAATAAAATACCACAGTATTGTTGCAGCTAAACCCCCTGAATTAGTATATTCTTTCCTATAGATATTGCAAGCATTTTAACGGTCAGTTTGGACTTTTAAAAGACGGACAATTGCTATATTATGAACAGTCTTCATTTCTATACAGATTGTAATATATGCTTTCATGTTAAACGTGCATGCTTTAATTAAGGTCAGTGAAATTCCCTTTTGACATGCCCTCCTTCTGAGAGACATTGCTTCCTTTTAGATTGTGATGTAAATACTTCCCTACAGACAGTTTATGCTTTCCAATAGGCAGTTTAGGTTTCCATAGGAAAAGTTTATGCTTAATATAGAGGTAACGCTTCCCTATTATAGGTAGCTGATGCTTCCCTATTGATGGCTTGTGCTTCCCCATAACTGCCCTATAGATAGCTGACAGTTCATTATAATAGATAGCTTGTGCTTCCCCATTGATAGCCAATGATTCCCCTTCAGATGGCTGATGCTTCCCCATAGGCAGTTTATGCTTTCCTAAAGAGAGCTGATACTTCCTTATAGATAGCTGATTTTCCCATAGATAGCTTATGCTTCCCCATTGACAAATTATTATGCTTCCCTATATAGATACCAGATGCTGACCTGCTTCTCTATCAACAGCTTATGCTTCCCCTAGGCAACTTATACTTCCACATAGACACAAAATATCCATCACTTTTAACTGACAGAAAACAAGACAATTAATTCTCTACAAGTAGCATATTTGTAGAGAAAGTTCAAGGTTTCTAGTGTGACCTAAAATCTTATCTACCTGCCATTTAATAACAAAATTGTTGAGTTGTCATTGTGCTACAAATTCTCAGCAAATATTTACTCAGTTAATACAAGGCCAGGATAAGGTTAATTCAGAGAAAGAGAGAGAGCTATTAAATCAATGTCAAAACTGTAACTTTTTTTTGACACAATCACTGACTGCGGAGGCTCATTTCCATGGGCTAAAGAATTGTATTCATACACATATTATTTGTATCCAAACACATGTGTGTATGTGTATTCTAGCACATATCAGATTCTGTGTGTATTCTATCACATATATGTGTGTATTCTAGCACATACATATGTGTATTATATCAAATATATGTGTGTATTCCAGTACATACCTGTGTGTGTTCTAGCACATATCTGTGTGTAATATAGCACATATATGTGTGTATTCTAACACATACATGTGTGTATTCTTACACATACATGTGTGTATTCTAGCACATGTCTGTGTGTATTATAGCACATATGTGTATTCCAATAAATACCTGTGTGTGTTCTAGCACATTATCTGTGTGTATTCTAGTACATATCTGTGTGTATTCTAGTACATATCTGTGTGTATTCTAGCACATATCAGATGTGTGTATTCTAGCACATATCTGTGTGTATTCTAGTACATATCTGTGTGTATTCTAGCACATATCTGTGTGTGTTCTAGCACATATCTGTGTGTATTCTAGTATATATCTGTGTGTATTCCAGCACACGTATGTGTGTATTCTAGCACATATCTGTGTGTATTCTAGCACACGTCTGTGTGTATTATAGCACATATGTGTATTCCAATACATACCTGTGTGTGTTCTAGCACATATCTGTGTGTATTCTAGCACATATC